GCCCCCCCCACACCAGCCCCTGACCTAACAAGGTCACGAGGAAGTGTCTCAGAAAACTAAGACCCAGTGGAATGATATCAGTAAAGCTTCCTCAAGGGAGTGTCCTGGAAAACTGGGTCCTGACAGAATGATGTCTGTTATCTCCCTTAGTTCATGGCTGCAGCTGCAGCTGCACCATCCTGGGGGTTGTGTGTGTAGGGGTACAAAGGCACAACATGTGTTGGAGTACAAGGGGTCTGGCTGATGCTAATTGGCCTTAAGGCATTTAGCACACAGACTTTAGAAAAAATAAAAAAGTTTTACTCCTTTGAAGTTTCTTAATAAAAGCTTCACGTTGGCTCGATTAGGCACTCACTTCCAAAGAGAGAGAACTGCAGCCCCCTGGCCTCGTGTCATAAACCTATCTTTGTCTTTTTGTCTCTTGTATTTTCTTTCACCGTGCGCCATCCCCTCTCACTCATCACTGCCTGTGCTGCGCGGGACACGGCAATATGGCAATTTTAACTATGTTGATTCTTCCAATCCATGAACATGGAATGTTTTTCCATTTCTTTGTGCCTTCTTCAATTTCTTTTAAAAATGTCTTATAGTTTTCAGTGTATAGGTCTTTCACATCCTTGGTTAAGTTTATTCCTAGGTATTTTAGTCTTTTTGTTGCAATTGCAAAATAAAATGTTTTTTTTTATTTCTTTTTTTAAGATTTCATTGTTACTATGTAGGAATGCAATGGAGTTTTGTATATTGATTTTGTAGCTGGTGACTTTACTGTATTCGTTTACGGTTTCTAATAGCTTTTTGGTGGAGTCTTTAGCCACTTTTTATTTTATTTATTTATTTATTTATTTATTTATTTATTTTTAAAAGATTTTATTGGGGGATTGGGGGAGGGGAACAGTGCTGGGGAATCGGGGAAGGGGAACAGACAAGTTGCTGTCCTTTTGTTCTTCAGTCTAGTTGTGGAGGACGTCGCTTCACTGGCCTATGTTGGTATTGTCATTGCGCTCTTCCCCGCTGAGGCAGATGGGTCACTGGCCATTGGATAGCCACTCACGGTGGCTCACGGCAGCTCACCAAGGTGCATGCCAGCTGCCGGTCAGCCCCACTGTAGCCTACTCCATTGCTGGTGACTCACAGCAGCCCAGCTCCAGGTCGAGCTGTTGTTCACTATCTTAGCTGTAGAGGGCGCAGTGTCACTGGCCCTCATGTGGGATTCTACTGCTCAGAGCTGGTGTCCCAAGCCAACTCTTAACCAACGCTCCAGTCGGCCAGCCCTTTAGCCACTTTTTAAACACTACACATTTGGTAGTGGTGATCAGACTTAAAATCCTTGAGAGAGAGAACTTATTCTTTCCAGCCTCTCATTTCAAGGTTCCATAGATGTCTTGTGTAAATAAATACTGTGCCTGTATCACTTACCTGTTGCTGCATTAATCTCAGTGGTATGAAACAAGAAGCATTTATCTCTCACAGTTTGTGTGTCACTAGGTTAGGTCAGCTGGGGATAGCTGATTAGTTTGTTTGGGCTGTTACAACAAAATGCCATAAATTGGGTATTTTACAAACAACATGTATTTATTTCTTATACTTCTGGAGGCTGGAAATTCCAAGATGATGGCGCCAGTAGACTCCATGTCTGGTGAGAGCTTCCTAGGTAATAGACAGTTGTCTTTTCTCTGTATCCTCACATGGTGAAGGGGACTGGGGGGAGCCTCTTTTGTAAGGGCACTGACCCCCATCATGAGGGCTCCACCCTTATGACCTAATCACCTCCCAAAGGCCCCACCTTCTAATACCATCACCTCAAGGATGAGGATGTCAATATATGAATTTTAAGGGTACACAAACATTCAGATTATCACAGTTGCTCTCCCCAACATGTCTCATTTTCCTCCTGGATCAGTGGGTAGCCCAGGCAGATGTCTGCTAACACCCTAATGGCTAAAGCAAGTCACATGTCCAATCACAGTCAAAGGCTGGGGAAATAACATTCCACATTTAGTAGGAGGGACTACAAAGTTACACAGCGAAGGGGATACAGGGTGAGATGAAGAACTGGGAACAATAATTTAATTTACTACAGTACTCAGATAGTGCATCCCAACACAGTGCTTACAGGAGACTTTCTGGCTCTAGAGTGGCAGTCACTTACCTGTTCTACAACTCTGTCAGGAGGGTGCTTTTCTGTGTCCGGTCAGATGGAGGGTTACACTCACCCATAGGTAGACTGCCACAAGGAAATGGAGGTGATGTTGGCTTTTCTTGGCTGTCCTGCCCATTAGAACACCAAAACTGTCCCCAAAGAAGGAATGAGAGGTTTTGGGCAGGAGGGAAGAGTTAAATAGGTGAAGCACAGGGGATATTTCAGGGTGGTGGTACTGTTCTGTATGATACTATAATGGTAGATATGACACCATATTTTTGTCAAAAACCATAGAACTTTACAACACACAACGAGTGAACTTTAATATACAAAAATTTTTTAAAAATCATTTAAGAGGTCAGAGGTCCTGTTTGGAACTCCCAGTATGTATCCTCTTGGAGGTAGGTGGAAACTTTAAGTTGCATTCACAACATGTCTGCAGTGGCTGAGAGCTCCAGTTCTGGACAAAGTTTTGCCAGCACAGTTTGAAGAAGAGGATTTGCATAAAACCAAACCATGCTCATGAGTGAGCCACAACTTGAATTTGCAGAAATTTATTGGATATTCTGGAGCACGGAAACTAGAATGAGAGTACGTACTCTCAGGAATCAATGGCAGAGTCAATGGGGAAGGTAAAGAATAAGTTAGAGAACAAGAGGCAAAGGACAAAACACAAGAACACTTTCTAAAATTAAAGCTAAAATCAAATTTGGTGCCAGGATTTTAAAATATGGTAAACAGAACAATTACTGCTAAGAACAAAATTTATGTTCTGAGGGAGCAAAAGGCATAAATTTCGTACAGCAGAAGTAAAAAACATTAAAAACTTGGAACTATAAACAACAAGATAGACAATAAAAGATTCGAGGGACAAATCCAAGAGGCCTCTTATGCAAATATTATTACTTTCAGAAGGAGAAAACATATCACAGACAGTAACACAGAGAAGAAAAGTAACAATAAAAAAAAGTGAAATAAAAGAAATTTCTTGAAGTTAAAGATTCCAAATGAAACTGAACATAACCTCAAAAAATTACAGAAATATTCCAAGGGTAAAGAGACAATCTTATAAACTTTAAGGAAAAAATGCAGATCACTTATGGTGGTAATTGAATCTGACTGGTTATCTGACTTATAAATTATACTCTATACCAACAGACAATAGAATGACAATGGACTATTGAGAAAATAGGAGTAAGATACAAGAATTCTGAACCTAGCCAAGATATAATTTAATGCAAAAGAATGAGATTTGGGAGAAAGTAAGGATTCAATGTGTTTCAACCCTGGCAACCTATCTGAGGAAATATGTAGAAACTCTTGTAACCAAATAAAAGTCAATTGGAGCATGGATCTCATGATTTGGGAAAATAAGAGAATGCAGGAAACAGTGATAGTTAAATATAAATGGATTATATATTGATGATGTGACTGAAAATTTATAATACGTGTTAAGTCTTCTTTAACAGAAAAGGAAATTGTAAGAAAATTCCTAATAAAAGCTTGAAACAAAAATTTCCGGCTATGTCAGTAAAGGAGTGTGTGTACGTGTGTGTACACCCATGTGCATACACACATGTAGGGGTGGAGTGGGACGTACAATATGGAACAGGAAAATAAATGACCTCCTATCAGTAAGTGGGGATGAGATAAATTTCAAAGGGAAAAGTACTGGGAGCATAAGGATTATGTAACTTTTATATATTAATAGAGAAATCCAAATTTAGTAATGGCCACATGTGATTAATCAAGAACTACTAGTATAATGAAAAACAGTATCTTTTAAAAATTAACAGTGTAATAAAAAATGAAGAAAATTAGAAAAAATAGAAACTAAAAAGAACAATAAAGAATAGCAAATAAAAAGTAATATAAAAATCATAAAAGCAAGTATAAAAAGCATCATAATTACTGTAGGCTAAATTCTCCTATCAAAAGGCAAAGACTCTGATATTAGTTATAATATAAAACCCAGGTATAAGGTGTTTTTAGAACACACCAAAACAACGTTACAAAGAAAGATTGAAAATTAAGGGAAAGCAAACATTAAGTAACTGCAAAGAAAAGAAAAGAACTCAGCATGAATGACAATATTAATATTAACTAAAATGTAATTCAAAGCCAAAAGCATTAATGCGGTCGGAGGAAAAATGTAATGGAGAAAAGTTAATCAGTGAATAAATTGTGTATAAGTCATAAACATTAATAGATAAACAAAATAGCAGCCATAGATATAAAGCAAATATCCCAGAAATACAACTGGACATCAATGAAAACATTTTTATTGTGGGATGTTTTGAATATTCTTTCAGCATTTGACAGTTCAAGTATATAATTAGGCAAAGATTTAAGGGATTTGAAAAATATACATAAATAAATAAACTGTACATTTTTCTCTTCTTATATTTATGTAATACACAAATTAATCATATACTTGGCCTAAAAATCTTTGCTAAATTGCTCAAAGCAGAGTTTTGTTTGTTTTTTTACTTTCAAACAGGAAATCAATAATAAAAATATTTTTTTAATCCTCTAATTATTGGAAAATTAAGATACCTCTTCCACATATTTCCTGATTCAAAGGGGAAGTCAAAATTGAAATCACAAAGTAAGTATCGAAAAGAGACTAGGAAAAAACTTTATACCAAAACCTACTGGATATAGTTAAAGTGATGTTGGGAGGTGGGTGGGGGTTTATAGTTTTAAATTATTTTATTGTTTAAAAAGAGAAAATTACACAAAGTCATGAATATCATGTTTGGAACAATTTGGATATTATTTTTCCTTGATTTTTGGTAAAACAGCACAGGAGGCACTTTCACTGATTTCAGATTTTCTTCATGTGGACTATTTTCCTTTCTCATTTCGTCCCTTTGTCAATGTCACAGTAAGAATGAATTAAGTGATCAAGAATTTGTCTGTCTGAAAATTTGAAGAAAACAGGATGAAAAATTCCATTTAACTATTTAAGTGCTAAATAGAGAAACTTTAGGAAGGAGGCAAATACCTGATAACAGTACTCTATATACAAATTTGATGAGACCAAACAATCAAAAGGTATTATGTCTAATAGTTAAAAAGACACACTTGTGTATTTATTGCATAAAAAGAGCATACTTAATAGTCAAGGGATCGGCAGGCTTCATGGAAACAGCATGGGTTTTGGAATGAAACAGACTTAGGTTTCAGTTCTGTACTGGTAGTATTAGCAAGTCATCTGACCTCCCCATTTCTTCATTTTCTCATCTTTGAATACAGGTAATAATACTCACCTTGCCCGGGTGTGGGAATGGATTAGGAATGCTGTGTGTGAGACACCTAGACAGTGCCTGGGCACACAGTAACAGAGTGACAAACAAATAACAGAAGCTACTATTTCCAAAGTTGCATCGAAGCCCCGGCTGCTTTTCTGCCCACAGACGTTGGTAGGCTTTGCTGGCTTTGAGTGATAACTGACCATGGAAGGGCCCTTCAACTCCCTGGCTTCCATTGCCTCGACTGAAAAATGAAGGAATCTTGTCTGGTTTTGCACATCTCTGGCTCCCTAATCCTAATTACATGTTGTTTAAATAGTACAGAGTGAAGCTGTGAAACTTTGGTCATGTCCAGTAATTGTCACCTGTGCAGCCAAACCAAAAGAACCAAAAGAGAGAAAGAAAAAAATGACAACATGTTATCATGGTCTGTATTACAAATGCCAGCTGAGGTCTATAGATGAGGGCGTGGTGTGTGTGTGTGTGTGTGTGTATGTGTGTGTGTGTGTGTGTTCCTGTTTACTCTCCATTTATGTCCACTTATATGTTTTTGTGATCTCACATTTAATTTTGAGCCATACCTTTTGACCCCAGGATTTTTTACAATAGTTGAGGTACACTTTTCATAAAGTGAAATGCTCTGATATGTAACCCACAGCCAAATAATGAGATAGACCATGTCCACCACCCCAGAAAGACCTGCCATGCTCCTTCTCAGTCAATACCTCCAACCCCAAGACAGACAGATTCTGATTAGCTTCATCACAGGTAAGTTCTGATGACCTTCAAATGAATGAAATCATGAAAAATGTGTTATTTGGTGTCTGGCTTCTTTCACGCAGCATACTATTTTTGAGGTTCATACAACTTGATGACTATATCAATAATTCATTCTTTTTTTGTCTAGTCAGATTTCATTATGAGCATATACTATACTTTATCCTTTCTCCTGTTGGTGGAGATTTGGGTTGTATCCAGCTTGGGAGTATTAAGAATATAACGGTTATAAACATTTTCCTATGAGTCCTTTTGTGGGCATGTTTTTTTCTTCTCCTGGGTAAATACCTACAAGTGGAATTTCTGGATCATGGAATCAGTATGTGTTGAACATTATGAGAAACTGACAGATCTGTTTCCAAAGTGATTGTATTATTGTACACCTACCAGCTCCATATCATCAACATTTGCTATTGTCAGTCTCTTTAATTTTAAGCCTAAAATGCTTCTATTTCTCAATCTTATACCAGAGTTAAGTTTAAGATAAGCAAAAAAATAAATCTTTTTGATACCAAAGATAAGCATATAAGATGAATCAAGTTTGGCATGAACTAATAAAAAAGATGAGATTGTGTCAAATTTAATGTCAATTTAAACAACTGTTCAAAAAGGCTGCCAGTTGTAATGTAAAACTAACCATATTATTATGTATGCAGATTTTGTTTATGTGTATGCTGTTTTGTGTGTGCTGTTCCCTCTGCTTAGGAATGGTCCTGCTTCTCCTTGTCGTGCCGATCCATCCTTGACACTTAAAGGAGGTCTCCTGTGAGCAGCCCTCCCTAACCCACCATCAACCCACAGGGATGGGATTACCCCTCACAGGCTAATGGACTCAAAGAGTACTTCCATTACAGAGCTTATGGCTTCTAACTATGCACTGTCTCCCAGCCCTGACACTTAGTTCTCTGAGAAATTGATCAAGTGAGCATTTAAAGGTATTTGATCAATGAAGCTGATTGAGTGAATACATGCATTCTTAACAACACTGAATTACACCCTAAGAAGAAATACCCTTTGAATAACCGTATTTGTGGGAGTTTTCATTGGGAGGAAGTCATAGCTGAAAAATTCTGAAAAGCAGATTTCAGATAATTTTATCTTTTTTGGGGGGGGGGATGGTAAGTGGGGAGATGACAATCTTTACCAATACATAACAGAAGCCCAAAGAGTGGTCTGAATCACTTGAGGATTAAAACAATTTTGAAAACAGAATGGCCACTACAGACATGTAGTTCAATTTTCTCAAGTTATAAATACAGAAACTCAATACCAAATAGCGACACGCAGGGTTAGTGGGAACAAAGTTTCCATCTTTAGCTGCTAATCCTTCCTTCTTCTCCAGCTTTATTTTGGGTCTTCCTGGAGTCTTCTCTATCCCACCTCACACTGCCTTCTCTCCAGTCCCCCCCTACCCCCAGTTTACGAAATAATGCTGATACTCCCCCTCTATTTTTCAAAATATACCTGGTTCTGGGCTCCTATGCTACCTAAGAGGGCTAATCCCATAGAATAATGTAAACTGAGGTGCTGATAATTCAGCCTACAACATCTGCCCAGTTTTATTCTCTTGCATATTCGCTCAGCCCTATCACAAATGAGCTCTGCTGAGATATGTGCACCTGCTGAGACTGTCATCTCAGACAGTGGAAAATGACAAGAGGTTTGGGACATAAGAATTTGAAGGGAGCCTCCTCTTTGTTTGCCAGCCTCTGGCACAGCTGGCATTGGTGACCAGGCCATTCTAAAGCAAAGCTAAGAGAGAAACTCTAGAACTCATTGGAAGCTTATGCTACATGACCCAAGTCAGCGCAAAATGGCAAGGCTCTGGGGCATGAGCACTGGGGTGTCTTCCCCCAGTGCTGTCCAGAGGAAACCAGGAAAGTAAGCGAGCTAAGAAGCCAAAGCCTCGATGGGCCCTAAAGCTACCTTATCAGGTAACAGGTCATGTCTCAACTGTCCAGGAAGAAAAACCCTACTGGAGGACAATGCTTCCATGAAGGATCAGATTACCAAAGAATCTTGGAGGAAGCCCACCTAAGCAGAGCACTCTGAGGGGTCCTTAGTTCACCCTTCGGGGGCACCGTTAAGGCTCCGATTGAAAATGACACACAGACAAGAGACAGAGGGGCCTGACAGCCAGCCTGGTTTCCATGAGGGCAGAGGAGGGACAGCTTCATCTGTCTTGCAAGTCCTGGGCAGATGGGAACATCTACTTTTGGAAGACAGAAATGCTCAACCTATAGGGTCAAGTAAACATGGCTCCCAGAGATAAAAGAGCCCTGATAAAATGCAGGTGATGGTTTTATATCCGAACAAACCTAGGGAAAGGCAGGGAGAGCAGTCTTGGGCCACTGCGTGCTTCCGACCCAGTCCTGGAAAGATGGGAGCAGCAGACTTCAAGGACCCTCTCGGTGTCCTGAGGTGTCATGTCAGACTGGCCCAGAGGCATCTGTTCAGAGGAATGAAGCTCCTCTACCCTGTTTTTAATTGGATTGTTTGTTTTTTTGTTGTTGTTGTTGAGTTGTATGCGTTCGTTATATATTTGGATATTAGCCCCTAATCAGAGGGGCTGCTTGCAAATATCTTCTCCCATTCGGTTGGTTGCCTCTTTATTTTGCTGACGGTTTCTTTTGCTGTGCAAAAGCTTATAATTTCACTCACGTGTGGGACATGAAACTGAAAGCGACAAACAAGCAAAACCTCATAGACACAGACAACAGTATGGTGGTTACCAGAGGGGAAGCGGGGTGGGGGAAGGTGAAAAAGGGTAAAGGGAATCAGATATATGGTGACAGAGGGAGATTTGACTCTGGGTGGTGAGCACACAATGCAATATACAGGTGATATATTATAAAAATTGTACACTTGAAACCTATATAATTTAATAGCCAATGTCACTCCAATAAATATAATGAAAAAAAAGAGGGATGAAGCTCTGAGTGAGAAATGTAGACTTCTGTTTCTGCCTTAGAGTGAGGCAAGACATCTGTTTCTGGTATGTCCTTGGGACCCAACGTTCAAGCTCTGTTAGGGGCCTTTGCAGCATCAGCCCTCAGCCCATGAGGGTGGGAAATATTTCCCACCAACACACACACACACACACACACACACACACCATGTGTGTGCACACACATGTAAAGGCACACAGGCACACATGTGTGCAGACATACACATTCATACACACACACACACAGGCGCACATGCACACACACACACAGAGGCACACACAGGCACACACACACACAGGCACACACAGGCGCGCATGAACACACACACACACACAGGCACACACACACAGGCACACACAGGCGCGCATGAACACACACACACACAGGCACACACAGGCACGCACACACACACACAGGCGCGCGTGCACACACACACACAGAGGCACACACAGGCACACACACACACAGGCACGCGCACGCAC